TGGAGAGGATGTGGAGAAAAAGGAATCCTCTTATAATACTGGTGGGAATGCACACTGGCCCAATCACTATGGGAAGCTGTGTGGAGGTTGCTCAGATTACTAAAAATAGAGCTACCATATCCCACCAGTATTCCACTCCTAGGTATCTACCTAAAGGATAAAAAAACATTAATTTGAAAGGAAACTGCAGCACTATCTACAATAGCTAAGACATGGAACCAATTTAAATACCTCAAAACAGGTGACTAGATGAAGAAGATATGATGTATAGGTACATGATGGAATACTACTGAGCAATCAAACAAGATAAACTCATCCATTTGCAGCAACATTGATGGAGCTGGCAGGGATTATGCTCAGTGAAATAAGTCAGAAGGGGGAAGAAAAATATTAGATAATTTCAATTATAAGAAGAATATAGGGAATCCGATCCAAGGGTAAAATAAAAGACAAAATTTTCACATAAACAATAGATCTGAGGCATTTAGCAAGGTGAGTAGAGAGAGATGGCTAAACAGAGGGAAGAGCACAAGGGACTATGGTCATGATTCAGGGGTGATGTGGTATGGAAAATTTATGGGGACTACACATTAATGGAGAAATTAACTATTGTACAAACATTAACAATGATGTAAGAAAATAAATTTAAAAATGTATAAAACTAATAAATAAGTAAACAAAACTTTCACTCTGTAAAAAAACACTGCCAAGAAATAAGAAGACAAACCACAGGCAGGTAGAAAATATTTGGGAAAGACATAGCTACTAACCTACAGTTATCTAAAACATACAACAAACTCTTAGAGATCAACAATAAGAAAATAACAAAGCTGATTTAAATAGGGTCAAAAATCCTAAATGGACACTTCACCCAAGGCAGATTTACAGATGGCAAATAAACATATGAAAAAATGCTCAATATCATTTGTAATGAAGGAACTGCAAATTACAACACCAATAAGATATACCTGCATGCTTATCAGAGGGACCAAAATACAGTTACCACTTAAAAGTGTCTATTAAGAGTGCTGTGCAAGCCATCTCTAAAACTCTTTCATTTTTGCAAAACTGAAACTTTCTACCTCTAAACAACAGGGCCTCAATTCCCCTTCCTCCACCCCTTAGTTATCATCATTCTACTTCCCGTTGCTATGACTTTGACTACTGTCGTTATTGCATATACGCGGAACACGCCTTACTTGTCTTTTTGTGACTGCTTTATTTCATTTAGCATAATGTCCTTCAGGCTTATCTACATTGTAATATGATTGATTTCCTGGCTTTTCACTTTTTAAAACTACTAATGCTGTTCTAAATAAACAGGATGCTGGTTGTTTGTCCACCTTCTTCCCTCCCCACAATCACTGATTCTCCTCCTTCTCTTCAGGAGTCTCGGGAGGCTGACCTCTACCTTACACTGTGGTGTCTGTCTGGGTTTGGTTATTGGGAAGCACCATCAGGAGACTGGAGGGTATAAGGTGTTTTTTTTATGTCGACACTCCTTTCCTGCCTCACTATTGTTCAGGCAGTAGCTATTCTTCATTCCTCTTTCTCTGCGTCAGCTCACTCTCTGCTCCATAACACCATTCCTTCTCCCCCCAATCCTCTCCCTACTTGTTCTCTCAGGACGTGGGCCAGAATTACTGCCTGCTGTTACTAGTCCCTGCATGCTTCACCATCCTTTAATTTTTTTTAAATCTTACCCATACCTTGGTAAAATATCTATTTATTAAAATGCCTCTTCATTAAGCCCTTCTGAATATACCATCTGTTCACATGATGGCTGCTGTGATCCTGACTCAGACACATGCCAACTGAAAAAGAAATAAATAAATAATGTAAATGTCTAAGAAGTGGAAAATAAAACGTCTCTACCCCATAGTCCTTTAGCCTTACTGCACTTCAAGCACAGTTGCTATTCACTTGTTTAGTATTTGAGGGGGTGGGTGGTAGTATTATGTGACATAAGGAAACCAGGATACCCAGGCTAACAAAAAACAGATTTATTATACTGGTATATACCAGTATCTGGCTCAGTGGATTATATCCAAAGGCTGAGTGACCCTTCAAGGAAGTTATGGGCTCATATATATTTCAGATTGTTGTGGTGAGTTGACTTTATAACTGTTCAAAGTTAAACATGATATGAGTTACATTCCAAGAAATGTAGCAAGTTGCTTATCACAAGAAGGGGAATGCCCTGTTCAGGCACCTTGCTTCAGTGGGGGATAGCATCCATGCTGACCTTCCATCTTGGGTGAATTCTGGTTGGTCTCAGACAATTGTGTTAAATGTGTCCCCCTCTGAGGGAAAGTCTAAACTCTTCGTGCGGGATGTACTTCTGTCTCAGGAACTGATCTGAAAAATGAACTCATATGAGTCACTACTATAATCCAGTTCAGGCTGGTGGGGTTGAAGGTGAGGCCCAGGAACTGCTAGAACCAGTTTGAGGAGTCAGCAGAGGAGGCTAAACCAGGGGAATCACAGACTAAAGTCGGGCCACTGGATTAAGTAAACCCTAAACCCAATCTGCCTCTATACTTTCAATTACTGGATCTAATACATTTCATGATTTTCTGTTTACTCTGTAGCAAAAGCATCCTAACCATATCTCCCTTCCCGCCCCCAACCCCCTCCACATATACTAAAATGTGTAAACCCATATGGATCTTATCATAGATGATACTGCAAATTACTTACTTTTTACTAAACCACATATCCTGAACATCTTTCCACATAATCACATTTAGCTCTAAGTACTGGATAGTATATTGTTGAAGGTAAAAATCAGTTTATTTATTTTAAATACTGTTTCTCTTTATTTTTGTTTAAGTCGAAGTAACACTGATTTACAACACTGTATATGATGTAGAGGTATAGCTTCATGCCTCTTCAGATGTATGTCACCACACCACACCCACCACCAAGGTACCCACAGCCCTTCTCCATATTCCACTGAACCCAGGTTTTATTTCTTGCTATTCCTTGATAGCATGTCCCCAGTAGTCAAATACTGAAGTCTTTTTTTATAAAGGATGAAGCCAAGAATTTCAGAAATTATATTTTTTTATAAATAGCAAAATAGATTATCAAACGTTAATTTTCTATAACCTAGGTCTGGTGCTATGTTGCAGCATGGTTAGTGAAGATACAATTTTGCTAACTAATGGAAAACAAAGGCTAGCTATTGATTTTGTTTTTTCTGCCTGATGATAAATCCCTGTCCATAATCTGAAAATTATTATCTGCACTCTTCCAACATAACACATGGAAGGTATGGAAAAATTGTTCACCAATAGCTGATTTCCCTCTCTTTCTTACTAACACATACTAAGTTTGTTCTGAAAGGCAATGTGGTCAGTTTAGATATTTGCCTCTTGAAATTCCCTTTTAGCTATGAGTGGCTATCTGATCCACTCCTAGCCAAAAGCACAGTTTATTTATCCTTTTCCTTACAAAGAACTTTCAGGTTATTTGCTGCTTTGCTTTTTACAAAAAGTGGCAAAATCACATGTATTTTGATTTCTCTAAATTAATATGTACATAAGGAAAATTCCTACTAGCACTGCTGGTAAGTAAATCTGAGAATTCAAAATGTTCATAACTATTGTTATTTTTTCCTTCCAAAAATTTGTATCAATTTACACTCCCATTAAGATTTGTTTATACTCTTTCCAATTCTGGGCATTATAGAAAGCTTAAACCTTTGGCAATCAGATGAAAACTGTATCTCTTTAGTGTATTAAAACTTTTATTTGACCCTCCCTGGTGGTGCAGCAGGTTAAAGCACAGCACTGAGGAAGCTGGCCACAGCTGCTCAGGTGGGAGTTCAACCCCCACCCCAGAGGTGACCTGCAAAGTGCAGCAGACCTCTCCTGTCTAGCCCACTGCTCCCCTCAGCAGGTCCTTCGTCAATCTGCCTGTTCTACTCCCCACTCTGACTATGGAGAATCCTCTCACCGCCCCTGCACCTCTGGTCTTTACCTGTTATTTATGCATAAATAAATAAATCTTTAAAAAAGCAAAAACAAAAACTTTTATTTATGAGAGAGGGCCAAGCATTTTTATGTTTTTAATTTTTGTAAATTTTCATGTTCTTTGTTACTTTCTATATACTTTTTAAAATTGGCTTGAAGTAGTTCATTCTATACATTTTAAAAGTTATTTATTATAGATATTATAACTTTCATTTTCATTAATTATTTCTAATCAAATCATTTTATAGCACATTTTTCATAAGACAGCCTTATACAGTCTAACATAATTGATGTATTCCTTTTTCATTTTAGGGTATTGTTTTACTGCTTGGAGTCCTTCCCCCATTCCAATATTATTTAAGCCAGCAATTTAATGAATTCATTTTTACACTTATGTTTCTGATCCAAGTGAAAAGGTTTGGCTCTACGCAAATCTGTAGCCGTCATCAATGTCTTTTTAGTTAATGACCATATATTAAAATTACAAATTTTTAAAATATGGTCACTGGTTAGTATAACACAGATACATCTTTCTATGAAAATCTTAACAAAAACGAAATAAGTAACAACAGATGTAGTTTGAAAAACATTAATATGGTAAAAGAATAAAACCAGGTTTCCCAAGTTTTGCTTTGAAATTTGAAAGATCACCATATGTGAGCCTCCTTCTGCTAGGCCTAAACTCCTATGTGCACACATTGTTCAGCACATAAGGACTCTAAACTTGTTATTGGTGGTCACCCCTCTTTAGTCCACAGGGAAAAAAGTAGAAGTCAAGAAAAAGAGTATTAGAAAAAGATGGAAGGAACCCAGTGGAAGCCGAGTTAGTACTTATTACCAGGCAGCAACTCTTCTTGAAATGTCTGCAATGCATGATAGAACAATTCATTTCTTGAGCCCTCCTCTATCCCATAAAAATTCCTCCAAGTTCCTTCAACTCATGGTCCCAAAATATCTCCACTATGTACAAAGTTGAGAGCACCAATTCTAGAGCCAGGCTACCCAATTCACAATGCTACTTACCAAATGCACATCTTGGCACACTGATTGAACATCTCGGTAGTTCAGTTTTCCCACCTGTAAAATGGAGATAATAATACACCTATGGATGGTTTACCTGTGTTAATACACGCAGAACACTTATTACAGTGCTTGGAGTGTAATAGCATTTAATAAATATTAACTATCTCATTCTCAGAAATCCATTATGTCTATATGTGTCATAAGTCCACTGTAAAAGGGAATTCCAGAAAATAAGGAATTTTCCAGTTGTTCTATTGCTCCACAGGTATAGGAAGACCTGCCTTTCTACTTTGTTAAACTATAGTGTGGGAATAATTAGTTTCTTATTACAACTAGCTACTAATTGTAAAGTGCAGTAAATATGTGTTTTGAGGACTACTAATTAAAGTGGTTCTTATTCACCTGGTTGAAGACATGATGCTTTTTATCCAAATGATTCAATGCTTTTCCCATTAATGTTGTGCAAGAGAGCTAGAGAAAGTTATTGAATCATTTCAAACATGCTTATTGATGTGAAGATAACACTGTGGAGTGGTAAAAAAAAAATCTTAGTCATACGCCAAGACAATGAAACTAATGAAAAGGAAAGGAAAGGTATTTTGCTTAGTAAACTATACAAATGAAGTATATTTTGTACTGATTCTCTTATCAATTCTATAAAATGCTCACTCCATGTAGAAGCAACCGAAGTGCTCATAAATGGATGGTGTACCAATATTTACACAGTGGAATACTACTCTCTGGGAAAACAGATTTAAACTTTGCAAGAATGTACCACTGGAAGGGATCTTTAGTGCTCATTTTAGAAAACTACTCCAAATGAAACTTGACCACTTTCTTATGCCATACACAAAATTAACTCAAAGTGATTTAAAAATATGAATTGGAAATATGGTTCAAACAGCAAAGATAAAACCAAAAATCACAAAGTGTAACATCAAACTAAAAGGCTTGTGCACACCAGAGGAAACCATCAATAAACTGAAAAGACAACCTATTCAATGGGAGAAAATATTTATAAATCATATATTTGATAAAGGGTATGTAGACAGCTTATTAAGTGAAACAGCAAAAAATCCAATTAAAAATGGGAAATGTGAGTAGACATTTTACCAGAGAAGAAATAAAGATGTCCAACAGGCAAATGAAAAGTTGCTCAACATCATTAAACATGAGGGAACTGCAAATCACAACTACATTGAGATATTCCTTATACTGGTTTGAATGGCTAATATCAAAATGACAGAAATAGCAAGGATTGGTTATAAAAGGGGACGCTCATATACTGTTGGTAGGATTCTACACTGGTACATCCACTGTGGAAAACAACACTGGGGTTCCTCAAAAATTAAAAATGTAACTACAATATGGCCCCATTTCTGGGTATTTTTTTCTGAAGAAAAAAAAAAAAAAAAGAATACATGTAGCCCTATTAAATCACAGCAGTATTTACAAAAGCCAACATACAGAAGCAACCTAAATGTCCATCAGTGGATGGTTTGGTATATTAACACAATGGAATACTATCAATCTATCTCCAGTCACTGAGACATGAGTTTTATCCCTGGCCAGGGAGCTAACCCAAATGGCACAGCAGACCTCTCCTCTCTAGCCTGGTGCTCCCCTGAGCAGTGTCTTTCAGTAAAACTGCCTGTTGTGCTTCCCACTTTGTCTCTGGTGAACCCACTCACCTCCTGCATCTCTGGCCTACACCCCAGCTCTTGTATGCATAATTAAACATATATCTTTTTTTTTAATTAATACTACTCAGTAATAAAAAAGAATGAAATCTTGCCATTTGCAACTACACAGATGGACCTTGAGGGTATTATGCTAAGCAAAGGAAATCAGACAAAAAGATGTACTGTATGCTTCTATTTTATGTGGAATCTGAAAAATAAAAAACAAATGAACAAATAAAACAGCAGAATAGTGGTTGCAAAGGGGAGTGGTTGGAGGGTGGGCAAAGGTGATCAAGAAGTGAAAACCTTCCAGTTATAAAATAAATTAATTAGGGGGATACAATGTACAGCATGGTGATTATATCCATAAATATCATGGGCATACTTGAAAATTGTCAAGAGAGTAAATCCTGAGAAGTTACTCTACAACTAGACTTATTGCAGAGATCATTTCTCAAGCTATAAAAATATCAAATCATGCTGTACACCTGAACCAATATAATAAATTATAACTTAATAAAAAGACAATCTCTACCAAATCTATATATAGGTATCAGTTTTCTCTTATTTCACCCACTTCATTAATACAATTTAAATGTTAATTTATTATTTCATCTCTTTTTTGTATAGTACTTTCTATGTCTGTCTAGTGTCTATTATGGCTGAATTCCTCGGCTCACTTCTTACAGTACTAATTTGTACTCTCATATATTTATTTTGAGATTTTGTTCATTTCAATATCTTTTCATTTTCAAAATCAACAATTGCTTCTTTAATTAAAAGCTACCTGCTGTTATAGTCAAAATAGCCTTTCATATCTCTGGAATTATTGATTATAGTTAATTTAAAAGTTTGTTTGCTCTATTAACTTTGTTACCTTTGGCTTTTGTGTGTGTGTTTATTGGGTTTGATGCCTGCCTTTTATGGAGGTAGTTTTCCTTAAAGCCTGGTGATCCTTGACTTGCTTCTTTCCTTTGGCGGAGCCTCTCTGCTGAAAGATGGTTCTAGTTCTATTCCAAGACTCTTTTCTCTGCCTCTGGGTGAGGAAGGGCAGAGGTGCTGAGAGGAGCGCCCCATCCCTCCTCCATGCATCCCACAGTACAAAACTCTCTGTTTCTCACCCTTTTATATTATTGTCAAGTCTTTTTTGATACTTTTCTTCCTAGTGGTCAGTGCCTAAATCCAATGGAATTTCAGTATCACAGATACAATGCAATATTTACTGCTGCCCTGAAGGCCACAGATTATTGCTATAGATAAGTTTTTTTGTTTTTTGCTTTTTTTCCCATCCCCCACCCCACACCATATTTACTCGTATTTACTCTATTGGAAGTGTTACTGGCCAACACCAGCTAAAACTGTTATTTCCTCAAGAATGTCCCTGCTTCTCTACACGAGGTACCACAGTGTTTTCACTATTCTGCATAGAAAGCAGCTGCCCAAAGAGTTTCTATGTTCCTTCAAACAGTGCCTCTATGTTTTGAAAATTCCCCCAAACACGCCTTCTTCTGAAGTTTCTGATGAACTAAGTTTTTTGTTTTGTTTTTAATTAGTACTTTGTTTTTTAGAGCAGTTTGAGATTCACAGCAAAACTGAACAGGAAGTACAGTTCCCACATACCCCACACACCCTACACACATTCTCTTCCATCACCAGCATTAAACCAGGGGGTAAATTGGTTACAATCCACACTAACTTTTAAAGTGAGGTTTGTTATTTTAATCTGATATGTAGTTACAGTGCTTCTGAATTTTTTCAAAACTCCCAACTAATAGCATATTATATTGCTATTTTCAAAGCAATAGTATTGATTTTTCTTTATTTTTATAATTTTATAATTTTGAGGAACTAAGGCAGGCGTAAAGAGAGGCATTTTTTTTAGTCTTCTATCTAAAGCAAGAGTCCTAGAGAGTTCTAGCGAAATTAAAAAAATAAATGGTGGGTGGGTAGGGGTATGGAAATTAGCTTTTATAAATTGTTATTTTAAGTTCTACTAGTGAACTTCCAAAATATAGCTCAATAATTTTTCTAAATCCTAAAACATAAATTATTCTTGGCTAAATATTCAACATTAGTAGTATATATTAGCCTATATATGACAAAATAGCATGACTATTTTTATTATCTGTATCTTTACTGTACGGTATTTATGATTATTAGATTCTAACATTTAACTAAGATGCGTTAAAATTATTTAGTTCTATATATTTAAGTAAGTTTATAGAAAAAGAGCAGAAATACCATTAATATTCTATTACTCCATATTCACTTTTAATCTGTTAGCTTATACATATATTGTGTTGGTCTAATATTTTATGCCTACTATTTTTGTATTATGTGTGTTTATTTATATTTACAACTCTACAAATTTGGCTTTATTTTTTACTACTAATTATTAAACAGGATGGAATTATTATGCTTACTGATATTTTATTAGTATTAAGAATTGGGCCCTCCCTGGTGGCACAGCGGGTTAAAGCACAGCACTAAGAAGCTAAAGCCACTTCTGCAAGAGTTCGATCCCCGCCTGCCTGGGAGTTGATCCACTTGGCGTGGCAGAGCTCTCCTGACCTGCCCGCTGCTCCCCTCAGCAGTGTACTTCATCAATCTACCTGTTCTGCTCTCCACTCTGTGTCTGGTGAATCCTCTCACGGCCCCTGCCCCTCTGGCCTATACCCCAGTTCTGTATGCACAAATAAATAAATCTTTAAAAAAAAAACTAAGAGTATTTTTATAATTTTGTCAGTGTATGAATACTGTCCTGCATTTCTCCAAAAACTTAAGACTAATGCAAAGTAACTTCAGCCTTGCCAAACCCTCAGCTCAAGATTTTAAATTTTTTACTAGCATTTTATTTTACATCTGTGACTGCATTTTGCCATTTAATGATTTCTATTCTGTATTCTTATATGTATAAGAGTGTTTGTGGCAAATTGTATTTTCCTAATCTGCTTAGAACAACCAAACCACCTCACAATTTATTACTGAGAGATGTTTATACTTTTCCCCTTTGATTTTGGGTGGACTTGTGATTCTGGCAGAAATGGTATTGTAAACTCTAAGACTACTGCTTTTTAGGGTTCAAAAGAAAAGAATCAAAAGATAAACTGGTTCTGAGAACTGAGGTTCCTTAACCATAAAATAGCGAAGAGGTCCCTGTGGGCAGAACTGAGGGTCTCCAGACACTGTCTTGGCTGAGCTCAGCTGTCAGACAGTAACTTGTTAATAACCACATGAATGATTCACCTTGACTCATTAGCACCCAAAATAGCTACCTCAGCTAATGTCCAAGGGGCAGAAGAGGGTGCAGAGGTAAGGCATATTTACTGAGTTCTGCCCAAATGAAAGATTTACAAGCAAAATAAATAATTG